TCCCATCCACGATTCGCTGTTGCGTTCCAAAATTAACAGTGCTGTTCTTATAAGGTGGCATTTGGAGTTAGTAACAAAGCCTATTGAGAACACTAATGAGATGAATGACCTCTCGTAAGGTCGATGGCTAGTTGGTATGTACAGACACATACCAATCAAGTACAGATACTATTATACTAACTATGTTTATTCATATTGCATTTAAATAATGAGTTAGTAAGTATATATGTACTTTGTTGGTTTGTATGTATATGCATACCAACTGGCCATCCACCTTACGAGAGGTCCTTATTCAGCTCATGTGTGTTCTGTGTAGGCTCTTTTACTAACTCCATTAGCCCCCCTTAGGAGCAGCACTGTTAATTGAAACGCAACAGCGCATCGTGCGGAATCATCTCCGGCCAAGGGTACGAAAACAAATATTATCATGAAAATCATCAAATTCGTCCTTAAAAAATAGGTCTGACTCATAAAATAGGTATGACAGGAATTTGGTAGTCAATCAATCGGAAAATCGGATGTTTTTCCTTGTTCATCGTTTGTATATATTTGTTATAATGATAATTATATATTCCTACTCGAAAGTTAACCGCAAATAAATTCCGAACGGTAAATTCGAATAATTTGATTGGTCTAACGGTCGTCTGCACATCTGATTCAAAACGATTTCATGAGAAAATGTGCGAAAATTTGGTAAAACTTGGATTTCCAGTGGTCCTCGAATCCCAATCTAAAGAAAACTAAACTCTTCTCCGCGTTTAGCAATTTGAATTTACCGCTACGTGCAGTATAATTCTGATGTGTTATTTGTGATGTTGAGGTTTGTTAATCTGTGATATAGGCGTGTTTTTTTATTCATCGATGAATCAATCATATGCGCATGAAACACAAATTCATCAAATAGTATTTTGATTCACCAATCCGAACATCGCATAGATATTTAGTTCTCAAATTCAGCGGATAATTCAATCTAATATTCATCTGATACATTATTATCGGCATGAAGAACTGATTTATTGATGAATTCAAAGGTGAGGAAAGGTTTATTCGACTACGCTGGTGATAAAATCGGATGAATCTTCGGCAATTATAGTATAAGTGATACAGTGATCAATATAATAATGGATTTATAGTTAATTTGCCACTACAGTATAATGATCCCCACCAACACGAGTACATCCTAGGGACTTTCCAGGGACGTCTCGCTTTCAGACAAAAAGTACATCCAAGGGATGTCCTTCTGGTACGTCACTGAGATGTAACGAGTACGATGAAAGGATATCCATAGGACGTTCTAAGGATATCCTAGGGACATTCCCTTCGACAAAAGGAAAAAAAAAATGTAGGTCGAGTAGAGATTTAACCCGGGACCTTTAGCTTATCAGACACGCACCTTACTCCATTGGCTAATATGCCTTCTGAAGATTCATATGTATTGAACAGATTTATAAACCGAACTAAACTACAGAATCCTGAATAAATGAAACTTTGTTAGGATTCGGGTATAATTATTATCATTCTTGGGTGTTTAAAAATAAGGGGCATTATGCATTTACGATTTCTGTTAGCGAAAAATGGTCATTTTTTGAGAAGTTTTGAGATTATATTCTTTATTTTCATTACAACTATTTTACGGAAGAACTACATTTTCGAAAAAATTCGACTCAATATTTTGATGAAATTCAATGACTCGCTGATGTGAATGGATATCAGATATTCCAGGGACACGAATAGGATAACCTAGGGATGTACCGGGCTGGATGTCCACTGGACAACCACTGCGGGACATCCCTGTGTTGTTAGGGATGTGACTTTTACATGAAAGTTAAACATGAAATGAAATTAAGAATTAGAACACCAAAGTTTATTGAAATGAGTTTTGGTAATCCTCAACATTAGAGTCATCCATTTTTGTACACATCAAATCGTTCCTGTTCCTATACTAGTTGATATCTACATTTCATCAGCGTACATAAATAAACTACGCTGATTTCATAAGGGCATCTGTGACGTCAGAAGACATGAATCAGTGATCATCAGATGTCTGATCTGACAAGCATTTGACGGGCAAGATGTCAATGAGATGGCAGGGTTGCCAGTATGTGAGGATTCTACGTCGATCTGAAGATTTACTCAAATGTGAGGATTCTATTTATCAGTTCTTCAGTTCAGTCCGTTTTCATACTTCGTAGATCAATGGTGACACGAAAAGTTCATAATGTCACTATAGTGATAGTCTTTTGTTCTGACCACTGAATCAGAATCGAAGCGAACTATAGAAAATTCGCGATTCTGCCTTCGATATTCGATCACATTGTTCAGTTCTGACAGACCTTCTATATATTATATATTGGTTCATCGAAAGTATGAATCAAAAGATATTCGTGGAAATATTACACCCCTTATCATTTTTCATTATATATTTCATGAAAAGTTGTAATTCATGAAAGGTAAATTGAGTAAGTATATATAAGCTCAACCTCATTAACAAAGCGGATAAGGACTGATCTGATCCTCTTCATTCGTTAATATACCTACTCTAAAATATGTCAATTGATGGATCAATATGATATAGAAATTAAGTTTCATCACATTCAGTATCATTTTGATCAGTCCCTCACTACCATTTAATCCAGAGGTAAAAAAAAACGATTTTCGATCTTACAAAATTGTGAACAAAATACATAGAAATTAACGACGAAAAACTTGACTTGAAAGATATATAAATATAAATTTTCAAACAATTACAACTAAATCCACATCGAAGAATCAATGATTCCTTTTTTCTTTCTGGATAGCCTTCGAAAGTAGCTGAATCCAAACGAACTAGATTTGATGTGTTTCTCAATAGTGAAAAATAATACACAATGTAAATGTTTATGTGCATGGGATCCGATTGTTTCCTCATTATACGCCTGGAATTTCGAGGCTATATCACAGAACTACCCAGCCAACCATGAGATGTATAAAAGTGACATGCGATATCGCATTTGAAGTCACAAACATGTTACCGATACAACGTCTCGATGTGAAAATGTCCTACTCAAGCAACATCACTGTGACGTCGTTAAGACATGAAATGCGACATCACATGAAAAATCACTACCAGGTCACATACAAGTGTACATTTCATATTACAAATACATCACACTGCGACATCGATGATGTGGTCGCCGTAACTGTGATATTCGTGGGATATATAATCTTAATAATTATTCAACTTTACGAAGAAAATGTTTATTTTCCGAAAGTAAAAACAGATGATACAAAACTTATCATGACAATCAACCTAATTAGTAATCTTGAAGTAAAACATGACACATATATATATATAGCAATACAAATATACATTATTCATAAATGAAAATGATACATATCAAATACACTTACATTATCTTTGGATCTTTCATCCACCTTGTTTTAGATTGAAATATTCCTATCTCAGAGATAATTACAATATTACCTATTGTGATTGAACTCACCGTCGTTCCTATTGTATACCTCCAATTTGAAGCTGCTATTAATATGTGCTATAAATCATCTCAGATATTTCAACAGAGAATTTGGAAGGAAATAGTCTGTACGGAGTCGGACTCACTGACTGACTGACTGACTGACTGACTGACTGACTGACTGACTGACTGACTGACTGACTGACTGACTGACTGACTGACTGACTGACTGACTGACTGACTGACATGGCCATGCACAGCTCAACATGGCGTCTGGCGTGTGCGTTCGTTTTGCGCATGTCTGCGTCACACTCACAGGTCACAAAGATATCTCATGAGGATATCAATGTGAATTATTTAGTTAACGTCGAAGAGATGATGTAGTTTGAACAAGTCGCTACCACATTACATATTTTCCTGGTTGCGATGTCACCTTGCGACGTTGATATCGAATCTACGTCGATAAGATGTGTTAACGAGATATTGCATTTATGCAAGGTTGTTACATCACACAGTTGTTGATGTCACACGATGGTTGGCTGGGTATATATACCTTTATTAATGTTAATTGTAATCGTGTGTATAATATACACACGATATATACACGTGTGTAAAATAATTGTAAGCGTCATACATTTATTTTGTCAGTGTAAACATTCCTTCAGAAATCTTCAGAAGAAGCGCCACCTACTATCTTCTTCAGTGGCACAAACTATATGTTAGACAAGCAAAGATTTATCAGACCTCTCTATATTTCAATGCGGCCACGTAGAAAGATGGAGGAGGAGAGAACTTTCCTCTCTCGTTCGATTTGAAAAAGAGCTCAATTAAATTGTATAAAAAAAATATATATAGTGAAGTTGTTTTTCTAAAAATTGTAATGGATGATACAAACATAAACAACTGAAGAATGAAACGACATGAAAAATCAACATTTTCAAACGAATGTAATTCATTATTAAAATCAGGTAGAGACAAGAATTACATTCATACAAGATTCAATGTTGATGAAAAAATAATATAACATTAAAATCTGTCATATTTTCGAGATGATCGGGAAATGTCGATAGAATAAAGGAAAAAAGTCGGTAATTTTTGAAAATTTCGAGCTCGCTTCGCTCGCTAGCGAACTGGGTCAGCCTCTTTTCTCATGAATGCATTTCAATTGTAACAGCTGGCAACACTGATATGGTGTGTTTGTTATTGTTTATATTTTTGATTTGTTGTCATCTCGAAAACTTGAAACTTCATATTCACATCTTAAGGAAGATTATTTAAGTAAAACTGATATTTCGAGTGAATAAACATGATTGAGAGAAGTATTTTTATATTGAAGACTGGCTGTTATCAGTAACCTCTCGGTGATGATTCAATTTCAAACAGCAAACAACAAAGGAACCCCGATAAAAAGACACCAGTGGACTCTCACACCATTTTTATCTGTGAAATGGAAAACATGAGACTATCCTCTGAATATTTCTAATCAGTGTTTTATACCTTTCTTCCTGGATTGACATAAGATTTCAAATTGGTGAAGTGATCAAAGAAATGAGAGTATTCTTGAAACTGCAAGTATTTTTTGCATTGTTTACTTCTTCATTGTCAGTTTTGAACCCTGTAGTGCTAGTTCCAGGAGATGGAGGATGCCAACTAGAAGCCAAAATCAATAAGACCAATGTTGTCCATTATATTTGTGAAAAATCCACTACAGATTACTTCAATATTTGGCTCAATCTGGAGCTACTAGTACCCCTAGTTATAGATTGCTGGATAGATAATATAAAATTGATTTATGACAACCAAACAAGAACTACCAGGAATAATGATGGGGTAGATATAAGAGTACCTGGATGGGGGGAGACAGAAACAGTAGAATGGTTGGATCCAAGCCATGCATCTACAGGCTCATATTTCACAGATGTGGCAGCCACTTTGGTGAAGCTTGGGCATGTAAAAAATCAGACAATTAAGGGGGCTCCTTATGACTTCAGAAAAGCACCAAGTAAGTTTTATATCAAAGACACCATCAAATTCAGATTTGCATTTAACCATTTTCAGATGAAAACAAAGACTATTTTGTCCGTTTGAAGTCACTCATTGAGCAAACATATGAAGAAAATAATAAAACATCTGTTATCTTATTAGCACATTCTATGGGAGGACCCATGTCTTTGGTCTTCCTGAATCTTCAGTCTCAGTCCTGGAAAGACAAATATATTCGAAGCTTGATAACATTGAGTGCAGTATGGGGTGGCTCCTTAAAAGCAGTTAAAGTATATGCAATTGGTAAGAAGCTAAATATCTATAAATTTTTATTTTGTTTGTTGCTAATTATGTTTCTGAATCTTTTATCAATATCTTCATGGTCGTATTGGACAAATGTTGTCCACAAAAACAGTGCAGTAAATATTCACAAAGTAATTCTAGGTGGGTTGTACCTAGTATCAGAAAGGCTAGCCAAGAACTCAAGAACTTACATTGGTTATATAGAACTATAGGCAGCTATGATTCTTGGGAAACTTATAGAGTAGCTAAACGAAATTATAATAAAATGCTCATTGATGCTAAATTAAATTATAATAGAATGCTGATCAACAGGTCAAGTAACAAACAAAAAACAGTGTGGAGTTCAGTCATTCAAGATCTGGGTAAAAATAAGAAGCACAATAGTATAACTAAGATAAGTATAACCTTGAATATAGAAAGTAATATTCACACAACTCCAGAAGTTGTAGCAAATATATTTGGAAATTATTTTGCCAGCATAACTGAAGCAAGTTTGTTGAGTCATTTTGGTGAATCAAGATCAAATGTATGTACAGTATCTTCCATGACTGACAAAACTTCTTTCTTCAATCCTGTCACACCTGATGAAGTACTATCTGTCATAAAAAATATGAAAAACAAAAACAGTACCAGTGTAGATAACATTTCTATAAAACCTTCTGTAGTAGTCCATACTCAAAGTGGAGTGGAATGATCAATAGAGTCGTGGAGACGACTTTGGGTTTTTCTCTATTGATTTCTATGAAAATTTTGAAATCTGTAGCTGATTCTGTAGCCAGACATCTGGCTCATTTAATCAATTATTCTATTTCATCTGGAAAATTCCCGTCAATATTGAGATTAGCTACTGTAATTCCTGTTCACAAGAAAAATGACCCTGAGAACATGGCCAACTATAGACCAATTTCTATTTTGAGTGTATTCTCTAAAGTCATTGAAAAGATAGTCTACAATAGAATTTACAACTTTTTATCCAAATATAAGATACTCACAGAATGCCAACATGGATTTTGTAGTGGAAAATCAACTCAAACAGCAGCATGCAGCTCAATTGAATTCATATATTCCAGTCTAGACAAAGGGAAACATGTGGCTGGACTTTTTTTGACCTTTCTCGAGCATTTGATTCCATCAACTTCAGTTTAATTAGCAGTAAATTATACAACTTGGGATTCAGAGGGATTTTTCTTGATTGGGTTAGTGATTATCTTGATCCATCTCAAAGGCCCCCCTGTTTTTCATTGTGTGATGTGACATGAAGTTTATTGACAATCCGAACTCATAGGTAGGTACCAACTGATAAAATTACGGCATGAGGATTTTCATGTGCCCATAGATGGTGATCTTCATTTGTTCTCCATATACTTCTGCAAGTGATATGGGGATACATTTGCTATATTTCTTCAATATTCCTAATGTTCACCCAAGTGGAGGTTTTACTGCTACATACTTTCGGGTCTGAAAATATATGGCATTAAACATTGCAGCATTTGTATTTTTGTCATGTTCAGCATTTGAAATATAAGGTGGCATCTCGAATGCAAGAATATTTCCATTACCAGTGCCACCAGTGGTTAAACGCCACGTCACATCATGAAATAAAAAACAGCATACTTCAATACAAATTCATGAAATAGAGTCACGATTAATTATTATATCTATCTAGAATTTCGATTAAAAACTAACATTTCAAATTATGAAGAATCAGGACTACTATTTTCTGTCAAATTTCTATCCAGCAAGAATGTACAAAATAGTAATTTACGTAGCAAGTCCGGAAAACAGTTTTTGGACGTGTTATGTACACTATTTTTTCGACAACCATGTAGAATAACAAATCAATGAGACAAATTTCCCTATTACATTTCTTTGTAGAGTACAATTTCTTCTTTATTAATTCCCATTTGTATCAAATACTGAAATTTGAACAGAATACCTATACCTATTAACTTTTACATGGGAAATTCCGTATGGACATTTTCAAACTCACTATCGCAGCTGCTTTCAATAGTTTATTGCGATAATTGCAACCAAACTATCAAAAATCAAAATGTCAACTAATTTCATGTCAAATAGCTGTCAGCCGGTATTTCGCTGCTATGGTAATTATCATCTGCATTTGTCAAAACCATATCTAACGTTTTTGTTCCATATTTTTTCATTGAATCGGTCAAAGTGTGCACTGCAAATTGAAAGACAGTTCCTATGGCATTTTGTCTGATCTTTCTGAATCTGATAACATTTTTCGAGAAAAGTGAACTTTTTTGTCATAAAATATAAAATATGAACTTTTCCTAAGTCAGGATCTGTATTTTTTCTGCATAATATGTTATCTTGAATAGTTTCAATAAACGGGTCATGGCAATTTCACATTGATATAATGAACTGTATGCGCTCTCAGGGGACGATGCCCTTCATTTATTGAGACCCCTGACTTTGGGCTTTGGCAACAATTTTACAGCTAGTAGCATCACACTTTTTCTACTCCAAGTGAGTCGAGAACAAATAATGTGATTCTTTCACATCAATCTTTTTGTATTATTGAACTTTTAATTAGGTTGAAGATGGTCTTTTATAAGACCGAAACATGTCGCTTCTCATTGTGTAACAACACTATTAAAATTTATGGAGATGATGCCCTTCATTTATTGAGACCCCTGAGTTTGGGCTTTGGCAACAATTTTACAGCTAGTAGCATCACACTTTTTTTACTCCAAGTGAGTCGAGAACAAATAATGTAATTCTTTCACATCAATCTTTTTGTATTGTAGAACTTTTAATTAGGCTGAAGATGGTCTTTTATAAGACCGAAACATGTCGCTTCTGGCTTTATGGAGATGACATCGGGCATTCTTTTCTTTCCTTTGAAAAATTTCACTCCACTTTGAGAAATATGGACTTCTACCAAAAATTTCCCTGTTGAAGTTGATTGTGAGCAATTTTGTTTGAGTTTGAGTGTTTGTTTCAGGCGACAATCTTGGTTCTTATGTTCTCCGTGAAAGCGTTCTGCGTGCTGAACAGATATCTTCTCCCAGTCTGGCATGGCTGATGCCGTCAAAGTTGTTCTGGAAACCCAACGAAGTTCTGGTACAAACGGATAAAAAGAACTACACCATAAATGATCTTCAGGAGTTCTTCATGTAAATATAAATTACAGTCATTACACTTTAAATTAACAGTATGCTTTTTTGGGGCATAAGTATATATATTCTGGAAGACAAACAGTACTCTAATGATGAAGATAAAAGCCCTAATTTCGAGTGACAACTCGGAACTCAGTATGCCTGATATAACAATGTCTGATACTAACATTCCCACCAAGTCAACTATATCTATGCTTAGTGTCTCCATCAGCAATACTCTTTCATAGGATAATCATGTCAGATCCATCGCAAAAGCTGCTTCACAAAAACTCGAATTTTCATTCCGTGCGAAAAGTTACTCTACACCTGAACAGCTTCTCATGATATACAAAGTCCAGGTACACCCAAACATAATAATAATAATAATAATAATAATAAATCGTCTTTATTACTTCCAATCACAAAAAAAATTACAAATAAACATTCTATACAATATATTTATTTTGGAAGCAAAGGGCGAAGTTTATTTTTTGCTGTGTAAACACACCAAAAAATATTCTTCCACTTAACCCTCAACAACCTGTGCTGTCGTGCCAAGAAATCGATGTGATAGGTATAGTCAGTACAATATTACAGAGATATGAATATTCATACAAAGTGGGATCAATTATAATTCTTCAAATATTATTTTTGAGATTCCAATAGATATTTTTTGAGATATAATTTGAATTTCGATGTGTTTAATTCTTTTATTTTCCCAAAAACCGGGTTGCAAAGATAGCAGATTTGATAACTGAAAGAGCGTCTGAAATGTTCTGTTTTGAAAGGTGGCATAGTTAAAAGTCCCTTATTCCTAATATTCAAGTTATGGACGTCGGTACGGTATGATATTTTTTTCGAGAGATAGGGAGGTACTTTTTTGGTAATAATTTTATGGTATAGAATGAGAGTGTGATGTGTTCTCCTATTGTCCATATTTAGCCATCCGATTTCATGGAGTTTGTGTGAAATTCTTTGCCTCCTGCGGATACCAAAGATTAATCGCAGGCATGCATTTTGTATTTTTTGGATTTTTGTCTTATATCGGTTGGTCAAATTGGGACCATAGAGAGCATCAGCATAATTGAATTGGGAGAGAACCAGTGTTTCACATAATAGTTTCTTGACACGTATCGGCAGTAAATGACGGTTACCATAAATCATTTTCAAACTACCATAGGCACGCTGCAGTAACTTATTTACATGCTTTTCAAATCTCAAGTTAGAATCCATTGTTACTCCTAGATTTCGTGCTTCCTCTACCATCACAAGCTGTTCATTATTAATATTTATATTGATGGAGTTGACAACATTCTCGCGGTGGTTTCTACTACCAAACAACATAACTTTGGATTTGCCAGGATTTATAAGTAAGCAATGTTCTGAAGCTGCTCTTACAAAGGCATTAAGATCGTTGTTGATTAATAAACATGCATTTTCTACCATATGTTGAGGAAAACTATGATAAATCTGCGTGTCGTCTGCATATAGATGTACATTACAAGTTTCAATCCGTGTTAGAAGATGCGATGAATAAATTGAGAATAAAAGCGGTCCCAGTATAGACCCTTGTGGCACACCTGATCTCAACGTTAGATAGTCTGAACTTATATTATTTATGCATACTTTTTGTTTTCTATTTTTGAGGTAGTTATTCATGAGTATTAGAGAATTTCTGGAAAAACCTATATATTGCATCATATTCAGTAGTAAGTCATAATGAATCGTGTTAAAAGCTCGACTGAAGTCTAACAAAACTAATAGTGTACAATTACCTTGATCGGTAGCTTTGATGATGTCATCGGTTATGTGCAGCAATGCTGTCGTACAGCTGAAACCCTTTCGAAAACCAGACTGAACCGAGGGCATCAAAGAGTTATTATAAAGGTGATCTTTTATTTGCATTTCCATGGCTTTTTCCAAGACTTTTGACAATGTCGGTAAGATACTAATTGGCCGTAAGTCCTTGAATTCGCTTGGATTTTGTTTCTTAGGCAAAACCTTCACTACAGCATTTTTCCACACAGATGGATAAACACTTTCAGTTGGCAGAAATTTACTATATGAGTTATATACGGTACTATATGAGGGCAGCACAATTTTATATTCAATCCATCACACCCTTTGGCATTAGTTTTAATGCTATGGATAGTTTCATTCACAATGAAGTCATTAACTTCTTGGAAATTAAAAGTGGAAGTATTGAGGTTATTATTTTCGTACTCTGATGCTCTTAGATTCCATCCAGAGAAGAGCCATTCGTCTGGTAGGTGATGCCAAACTCACTAATACTTTGACATTGGAATACCGTAGGAAGGTCGGCGACCACGGGAAATGTTCTTCAGAAATCTGTGCTAACATTCCACAACTTGCAATACCAGCCAGTTTCAACTTTCCTTTGGGACATATATCATTTCGTTATCAGATGACGGTAGAAATCTGCAGCCGGTTCTCCTACTATAAACAGTACTCTTGCACTTGTGTAGGTTCGAAAACAAGCGCTCCTACTAGCGCTTATAGATTATGACCCTCTCGATTTGCTTCCTATCAACTATACACCAGTGTTCATACAGGGTGATGCTAAAAATAAGAAATTATGTTTTCACTTTCAACAACCTGTATGTCAAAAGTGAAAGAAATGATTTCCCCTATACAGTGTGTTATCGAAATGAATACAAATATTGAACACAGCAATATGCTTTAGTCTAACAAAAATTCCCAAAATATACTATTTGTCCTTAGTGTTCAAATTAACACAAAATCTCATCTTGAAAATTGAACAAAAAAACATCGAGTACGCCACTTCATGGTTATTGAAGTCCTTGTGACTCAACATAGTCCATGTGACTCAACATGGAAGTTTGATGACAATTTAGTTTTCGAATATCTTATTGAAGTAGTTCCTTCTGATAAACAATGAAGTATTCAGTGTTATCATGATATGTTATAAAATGAATGAGAAGACATCATCCTCAAGTTTTTACTCCCCTTTGGGCCATTCTAGTGTGTGATGCAACAATGTTTTCCTACGACCACTCATAAAAGCAGCAGTGTTGTTGCTCAGAAAGTATCTCATATCACCATAGCAATGCGAAAGTGCAAACGAACAGTGTCACAATATTCCGCAGTAGCTCTCGAGCAAGGTCTCGAGAACGACGGAAACAAAAAAAAAAGATTTCCAAACCGTATCACTTTAAATTCTTATTTTGTCATATTGTTTCCTCTATCCATTATGCTTATGTGACATGCAATGCATATGTTTCTGTTTTGTCATTTTTTCCTGTTCTGTAAATGGGACAACCTGTTGAACAGTGTAAGAAATAAATAAATAAAATAAATTAAAATTTTTCGGATAGAAATAATGATCTATTTACCGAATAATGAGTTAGATTAAATTTAACATAGATAGAAGCATATAACAAGTTATATTAATAACAATAACATGTTTGGAATTTGTATTTTGTGTTTTTGATTATATATTTATGGTCGTAGGAAAAATAGTGTACATAACTCGTTGGAAAGTGTATTTCATGCACTCGTTACATTTCTGCACTCGCCACTACGCGGCGTCGTGATGTATATCACCCGTGCAAAATATGTCACTTTCCACACTAGTTATGTAATATACTATTACATTATCTATTCTAATGTGGGCCATCAGAAAGTTCTCTTCAAATCATCGTGACGGAGACTAACTGTAGATTTTTACTACTTTGTAGTGATTTTGCATTAATCGCAATAGTTCTGAAACAAATATTATATACCCTCAATTTCGGCGATGTGTCCGGATCACGTCACATTTGAAATTATATACACAATGCGTTGAGGACAAGCTCACTTAGTCCTGTGCTATGTGCTTGAAGGGTTACAACTTGCACAGGGTTTTCCAAGCTAATATTCGTATAAATCGACGAGTCATTCAGTGACGAGGCATTGAAATCTTGGTCGAGATTCTTAAGAACGGACAGTTGAAAAATTATCTATAATTTCGACGGACAGTTAATATCGTAACTGAAATGCTTATTTTGGGCATTCTTCAGTGACCTGTTGAACTGAGGTTGAGGGTTCTCACATTACTTGGACTCCTTAACCAGCGTGAACACTGAACGACTAAAAAACTACTATTTAAAGTGTAAAAAGAATTGAAAATGTAGTTGATCTTCCTCGCAGATGAAAAAATCAATGATTTTTAATAATAATAATAATAATAACAATAGGGGCTTTATTTTCAATATCCTCGGTGAAGTCCAGCAAAGCTGTTCTACTTAACCGAGTACCATATTACATTAGAATTAAATAATTAAATAACAACCTACATAGTAGCTTGAATATAAAACTAACTTATCTACTAAATATAAGTATAATATTATTATCTATTCTAAAATACGGTCTATTAGCGAAAGAGAAATAATTTTGTTGAATTTTTGAAGTGAAACATTGATTTATTCTTGAGCTCTTGTGGGAGAGAATTGTATATTTTAACTGCATTATAGGAGAAGCATCTCTGATATAAAGCTGTTCTATGCATAGGCATCACGAGAAGACCTGTATTTCGAGTGGAACGATTATGAATTTCCGAAGTGAATGTTAATCGATGATGAATATAAATAGGATTTTTTTTCTTTTAATACTTTGTGAACCATGCAGGCAATATGCAATTTACGCCTATTGAACATATTGAGCCATCCCAATTCTCTAAGTTTATGAGAAATGTGGTCTCTGGTTCTTAGTGAGTAAATGAATCTGATACAGGAATTCTGAATCCTTTGAATTCTCGCTGATGAAACTGCATCCAAGCATGGACCATAATATACTAAATCAGCATAATTAGTATGACTCAATACTAGTGATTCATATAGTTGCTTTCTCAAGGGTACATTGATGAAAGACCTACTGCGATATAGATTCTTCAATGTAGAGTAACACTTACTAACAATAGATTTAACCTGTGCCTTGAATCTCAACTTACAATCAATAAGAATTCCTAGACTTTTCACTACATCACAGGGCTCTACTCTAACAGTAGCAATTTCAATTTTCAAATCAGATTTCACCTCTACTGATACATTACCAAAACATATAGCTTGGGTCTTCTTTGGGTTAATCTTCAGCCCATGCTTATTAGAGTATGCAACTATGTTCTCCAAAGTTTGATTTATATCTAAACATGCAGTATTCAACTCATCAGCAAGGAAACTTTTATAAACTTGGGTGTAGTCAGCAAACTGATCAATAGTACAATTCACAGAATTCCTATTGAGGTCCGTAGTATATATTAAAAATAGAAGAAGTCCGAGTATTGAGCCCTGCGGTACACCTTTATCAACTAATCTAGAGCTGGACTGCACATTGTCAATTAACACATATTGTCTCCTATGAGAAAGATAGCTTCGTAATAGTTTGACTACCCTATTAGAAAAGCCATAATAGTTAATTTTAGCCAAAAGGAGTTCTCTGCCTAAAGTATCAAACGCCCTACTATAGTCTAATAGAACTAGTGTTGTAATTTTCCCCTCATCTATTGCTCGTATGATATCATCCAACATTGTGGTCAATGCAGTAACTGTACTGTGAGCATTTCTAAAACCAGATTGATTTTCTGGAAATAACTTATTGTTTGATAGAAACTGTACCATTTGCAAATATATCATTTTTTCCAAAACCTTGGACAATACAGATAGCTTACTTATTGGCCTCAAATCAGAAATATGTTTCGGGCTATTCACTTTTGGCAATGGAACTATACAAGCAACTCTCCAATTCAGTGGGAAATAGCTATCTGTCAAACAACAATTAAAAATATGTGTTAAATACGGCAATATGCTTGGTGAACATAGTTTCAACATATTATCTAGAGTTATTCCATCTGAGCCTGCTGAGTTCGACTTGATCTTAGTTATTGCAATCATTACATCATTCTCCGAGACGACTTGCAATTCATTTCTCATTATTATAACTATCAACCAAAGCCGGATTCACTTGACATTGCAAATTCGTAACAGAATCAATAAAATAATCATTTATTTGATCAGGGTCAAGTAGATGTTCTGGAATAACATCGGTATTTTTATTGGTATATACATTCAAACGTTTCAAAGCACTCCATAAGTTCCTACTGTTTTCGTTTCTGATTATCTGATCTAAATATATTCGTTTTTCATTTCTCATTGTCATTGTACAGAGGTTTCTAGATTGCTTGTATGCTTTCCAATCCTCAGGATCCCTTGTTCTTTTGAATATACTCAGTAACTTGTTCCTGTCAGTCTTCATTATTCGAAATCTATCAGTTATCCAGGGTGCTTTAGGCTTAGTGATCCTCTTTCTTTTGTACGGAGCATGCTTGTCAAATAAATTTTTGATTTGGTTTGTTAGAATATCAACTTTATTATCAATATTATCTGTATAAAATATTTGTTGCCAGTTAAAAGATGTTAGATCATTATTAAAACTATCTATGTTGAAATCACAATAATCTCTATAACATTTGAATTTATCTTTTTCCTTAGTAACTCTAGTTTTCAGTTCACAAAATATAAGTTGATCAGTTATAGAATGCAGGTCTACATGTTGAATATGATTTATCACCAAGTGTTTATTACTAATAGACATAATATCAAGTAATCAGGAAGCAACATTTGTCAATCGCGTAGGTTGCTTCACCAGTTGCTCTAAGTTAAAAGATTCTAATAAATCAATAAGCTGCTGAGTTGTACTATTAGGTCTAAGCAGATTGACATTCAAGTCACCCATAAGTATTATTTCATCAGATCTGGGAAGCATACAAGCAATTGCATTCTCTAAGGTACTAAGAGCCTCTCTTACATTATGACCAGGTGGACGATAGATTATACCACAAGCATATCTTATATTTGAAAATTCCAAAGTCAATTTTTCGTTTATGTGTTATTTAGAAGAAGCTTTATTTTCAGATTTTTCATTTTCTGTACCTTCAGATTTCAATATACACTATTCAACTATCGCCATCTAGTGGCATAGACCTAAGGTAGGACCGCGTATTCGAAATGGGTGATATACCCGAAGCGTAGAGTTGTCCCAGTTGTCAGCAGACCGAGAGTGGCTGATAAGTCGTGTTGGGCCGAAACGGTACTGTCTCGCTCCTGGCAATTGAAACAACTCTGTTCATCCTGGATCTCCCAGTTATGAGAACTAACTGCACATTCTTGGACAAGTAACTTCCTGATGGTTATGGTATGATGTGATATTTTTTTCAGGGGTATAGGTTTTCCGGAAGGATGGGAAATGAGGAAAGATACTGAACCGTACCAGCTTAATTTCAAACCTCCCGGTGTCGAAGTACATTGTTTGTATGGAACAGGAGTTCAGACGGTTGAAAGGTTCGTTTACATATTTAGTTACTTTTCTTTAAATACATATTAAAGCTCTATTCACTGAACTTTCTACCCACAGCGCGCCGTATGATTCGCTACCCTCTAAATGTGTGACCACTGGCCATATTATACAGGGTTATTCAAAATTCGATGTGAATATTTTGGGTACATATTGTTGGGATCAAAATAAGACTTTTTCTTCATATAACCATGTATCCTAAAATGCTGCCCCTCCGAGCAACAATCACTGTAAGTTAGGTAAAGAACAAATATTATCTAAAATTGTGACTAAAATAACGGATCAAATCTTCTGAAAATTGGCATGCCCATGTCTTTTTAGACACTTCATTCTTGCTTCAAAAATGATGTAAACCCAGTTTTGAGAGTGTTGGAGGAGGGTCCAAACTTTAATTGGCCCAAATTTTATGTTTATGAAGAAAATTCCTGACTTCGAATAGCATGATCTTGTGGGCCATGAAAAAATGTAAGAATTCGGTTTCTTGCATTTTTTTCATACAATTAACCGTTTACCAGAAAATCGTACTCAACGAAAGGGTTAAGTTACAACATCGTTTTCGAGCACAATGGGTTAAACGCTTGCATACGGAGGTGATCGTAAGTCGGAACGCATTTGAGACTGCTATGTCAGAGGCGTGCAGTACTGGAATACTTGCACTTGATCCGTTATTAAGATTTCAGATATTTTTTTTACCCAACTTACAGTGGATGTAGCTCGTCCTTGAAATATTTACATCGAATTTTGGATTACCTTATATTTTTGTCACAAACCCACAATACCTTGTGCCCAAATCCACAACATTCACCATTGTTTTATATGAAGCAATTCTTTTTTATATTAGAATTAACGGAGATGTACGAATATAATAGGGTGATCTATATAATACTATGAAAAATTATTGAGTATGCTTTCCCCACACAATATTAAAATTGGTGAAACTTCCCCACCGCGGCAACATTGCAAATTGTGGCATAGTGACCTCAGACAAAAATCTAGAATACAAAATCCGCCCGCTTTTTTGTGATCGAAGCAATTTTTTTGTACGATGTTGTCAAATCTCAATTGTTCATATTTGTATTCTTCTGAACGGAGACATTGCTTCCTGTTTAGTTGATATAGATAGAATACTGTATTCATCACTAATATCTGAACCTGACAATGGTGAGTTCAAGATTAAGTAATGAAATCATACTACTTGTCAAGAAAAGTATTTTCATTTGTATTTTGAAAACAGGAGCATATTCGTTCCAAAAGGTCCAAAGATAAGTGAAAATTTCTTTTTTTCAAATATATCTCCATATTTATCTTCTTCAAATATATTTTAGAACTGACAATCGATTGAATTTTGCTTGTAGGCTTGTATAATGAAATAATACTAATATTTTTTATTCTATAGAAACGAGGAGAAAACCTCAAAAACTCTAAAAAAAATGATTATTAACGTTTTGTCCAAAGTTTTTTGCACCACAATTTTGTTACATGAATTTGGTCTAGTAACAGTTATAAATTAACAATTTTGCTTTTTTGAAAAGTTCTAGTGATAGTAAAGCGATCCTAAGAGAATGGCCCACTGCTCCTATATAAGAGACATTTTTGAGGTGTCTTGTTGAAATTAATATCGTTAACCAGGTGTTGTGAACTGCTATGCTGTTTCGCCCATTATATTATATTCGCCTTGCATATGAATATTATAATATTATAACTAATGTTTTATTTAACATTGTCTACAATATTGCAACATTTGCTTATTTTACACTTTCAATGTAACAACGACCTGTTGTAGGAAACGATGCTTCTATCTTTATTTAATATATTTCTCTTTTTGTCTATTGATGGCATGATGCACTATGACTGTCACTGTCAGGCAGTTAAATTCAGATATTCATTCTAAATTTTCCCTTTTGTCAACTAAACCAATGTACCAGTTTGATAATCTGACGAGGACACATTTTTCTATCTTTATCATATCCCTCAGTTGGAACTTTGAAGCGGAACGGGTATCAACTTTCGATTTTCCAATAGAACACTCTGTATTTTATTCGATGGGGGTATTTGATGGGGTTATCTCAAACGACTACGCAGAAATAACTGATTGATTTTTCAACATGATCGTATCGAACCAGGAGAAATTTCTCCATCACATCCATGGAGCATATTGAAAAATAAATCAACTACATCTCTGTAGCCATTAGAGATAACCCCAGCAAACTTGGTATTGTCGGATTTGTCATCATAATCCTAATCCCTCAGCGTTTCTTCACATCTACTGTATTACCTGAATCCCCTATGCCAAATTTTCAATGGATCACCTTATATTTGTATATCATTGAGGGCATTTAGTAATCAAGATATTTTGAAGTGCGAAAGCAGTGATGAGTACTCATTAACGATCAATTTCGTGTAAATTAATTAAACTTGTTGAACTTCTCAAGAATCTCATTGGGAGAAGAATTGTTTGTATACTTGTTTAACACGTTGACTGCCATGTCGGTCTATAGGACCGAGTAAAAAATATCCTGACGTGCCGCCACGGTCTCATAGACCGGGATTGAGTTTGATAAAACAGGCTGACTCGGCCTATGAGACCGAGTCAATTGAACGACTCGTGAAGGCGTCGGTTTGAATTATTGTCAATGATATCGCAGAGAGTGACCAAGACGGCTTCAGTGACATGTTTGCATTGCAAATTCTCTTCATCAGACGCACAGACCAAGTCGGCGTGGGAGGCAAATCAGTATGTACACAGAATGTTTGGTAGGCCGATACTGTAAAATAAACCTTCATTCAGTGGAATAAACGTGACTTAATTTTTTTTTTTTAGGAAATACAATCGAATATAAGTGTTCCAAGAATACGTAATCTATATATTCTTGAGGAATTTTTTGTAACAATCTTGGAAAAAACATATTTTTCAGGATATACTTTACAGAAGGTGCGTTTTCTTTTCAGATTAGGGCAAACCTACATCCTGATTCGTTCTTCATTCTCTAGTAACACCAAGTGCAAGGTCTACGTTTTTCATACGGTCTCTGACTCGGAGAATTCTCATGAACTCGAAATCTGCTCATTTTCTAAACTAAACAGAACATCAAATGAACAATGAGCGACACCCCTCAACAGTGTAGAACAATCGGGATACGCATGTGAAAAATTCAAAAAGCAAGTTGTACGTTGTATTTTGTACAGCACTAGACCGTGGTCGAAGTCGGCCGGACCCAGCTGCCGGTCCGACGCAGCGTACACAGGTATACATTGTGGTCAACCACTGACCTTCTCACATATTGTTTTCTTTTGTATATATGTTAGTTCTTGTTAATAAATATCACATTCATGTTGTATATGTTATTCCTTGCTTTCTGCCAGAAGTTTACTGCTTGATTACTTCGAAGCAATACTATAATGCATCATTCTATCCATATGATATCATTTCTGTTAGCTAATTTCTTAGTTCTTTGCTATAAATCTACTCATTCACTGTTTATCAAACTACTACTACCAACTAGCAAGCAAACCAATATACCTGCAAACACTACTACAGGAGATAGTGACCTGAAATGAGGTGATTCAGGCTGGGATTCAAATACAGCTGATACCCATCCTTGTGCAGTTTCTACAAGTTTGCTAGAAGCCTCATATTACAAGGGAACACCCTGAAATGGGGCCAAAAAGGGGCCAAATCCGGGTTTGTTTCAAAAAAAGAGCGTCAGTAACCATGGAAGTGAATTTGGCGACACTCACAACAAACCGTTTCCCTATAAATAGCAGCTCGAGCCACGATATCGGCAGAACATTTCCAGCCTTCGAAGAAGCAACATCTCCAGGAATAATAGACTCATAGGAAAAGAAAAGCATGGAAGTATACCAGGCCTCTACCTCCGTCAGCCCGAAGGAAGGAGTTGAAGAACCAGGTCCCAGTATAGTAGTATCTCAGTATTTGCAAGATAGTCCATTCCAAATAGAGTAAATTCATCACATTATATCGTTTGTTATTGTACTTCACTGCTACTAGAGCTGTTGCTCACCCTTGACCAGTTGAAAATAATCTGAAGTGCTTATAGATGACGATGAGTGGTCGAATTGCTCGATGGTACTATGGGAGCGCGTCCCCTGTTGCTCTTAAAATAATTAACAGTAGGCATACTGAAATGGACGTCCCTGTGGAGGTGTACACCACGGAGGTGGCTTGCAACCACTCTTATTTTATTCCCGACGGGTGACGATCCTTTTGCTAAAAGATGGCCCAGCCCAGAGCAATTAGAGTGGAGTGCAAACATATGCCGTTCCAGCAATTGATCAGTTAATACCAAACATAAACTTTTGCGGCTGAGTCTTGGTTGTACCAGTGAAGAGGTTTGATTGCTAATTGATAAGTCACTTTACTTCACCTCGTACACTTGCATTGTAAAAAGCTGCGTGGTTAATAAATGCTCTCGAACTTCACTTGATTTTCATTTCTTCTCTACCTTCACAAAACTCTGTATCCACGAACTTATATAAAAAAAAATATATACACAACGTGGGAACGTGTTTGAGGGGTAACGAAATGAATTTCGATACGCCTCAAATATGATATACTAGACGATCACATAAAATATGGTTTTATAGTTCCATATTTAGCTAAGACCCGGGTGGGTTTGGTTACATTGGTGCCGTGACCAGGATACAGAGTCAAGAAATTTGTGAGGGAGTGAGGAGAGGTGAATATACCTATTTATTAAATGGTAATAAAGTGAATTCATATTTTACAGGACCCAGTATCAGTATCGGATCAGCACCTGAGGAGCCTGTCTCAATAGACCAGATTCCGACGTATTACCTTGCGACAGACATCTCCACAGGATTAGAACAACACACACAGTGTGTTCTTGAGGAAATCCAGAAGATACAGATGTCGGTTAAGGAAACCAAACAACGTATAACGGACATTGGGAAAATTATAATTCAGATATATGAGGAACAAAAGAAAATAATGGAACAACTATCATCT